TTAGTTACACATCACAATGTATACCACAAACATAGATTGTAATATTTTCTTGTAACTCAGATTCTGCCATTCTCCCAACCTCTCTAGATTCTTCAAGCCATAAATATCTGCTCTTTTGATACAGCTCTAGCCTATGTGACCAATTTCTTATTCTGGGCTGAATCATTACAAAAGCCAGCTGATTGGTTAAAAATAAAAAAAGAATGCTGAATACCATAGCAACTGGCTTGCAGCCTTGCTAACATGCAGGAAGGATTTTTTACTTGAACAAGAGTTACAAGTGAAAACGCCAAAATCAGATCTGGCATAATATAAAAAACCCGATAGAAACATAGAAATTACTTGATCCCTCCCCAATCTCCTCCGTGCAATATCTTTTGTGCAACAGCAAATCTTCAGGTTCTTACTAAAACACAGATCAGACAGTAAATTAAAATGTGTGCCATGGTATTGAATCTACATATACATCAATACGTGACAGAATCTTTGCCAAAACAAATAGGATTAAATGCTGAAAAATCCAGTAATGGAAGCAAAACTATAATAGAGCTTAATCTCCAGTTTTAAATAATGGTCATATCACTCCATAACTAAAAGGATTTAAAGTTTCTAAAGAAATATCTCTAAATACAGATAATTTTTAGTGATTTAGTGATCACTTTCAGGAACATATCGAACTTAATGTCAATATCCTCTAAGAATTGCATCAAATCCATAAGGAATACATTTGAAGCAGCATATTGCTGTGGAATTACTACAAGAGTAGGTGTTCAGGGCAAGGTTTTGGCAGGGGTTGGGCTCTGTGGGAAGAGACCAGAAGCTTCCCTATGTTGGGCAGCCCCACTGCTGTCCCAAGCTGAGCCTACAAGTGACACTGGTGGCACCTCTGTGATGACATATTTAGGAAAGGGTAAAAAACCTGTTTGGCAGCTGTGAGAAAAGTAAGAAAACATGAGAGAACCAGCCCTGCAGATGCCCAGGTCACTGAAGAAGGAAGGGGCAAAGGTTCTGCAGAAATTCCAGAGCAGAAATTCCATTGCAGCCAATAGAGAAGACTGTGACAATGCAGGTTGTCCACCCACAGCCAATGGAAAACCACAGTGGAGCAAATATCCTCCCTGCAGCACATGGAGAACACCAAACCAGAGCATGAGGAGATGCCCTGAAGGAAACTGCAGCCCATGGAGAACCCAGGCTGGAGAAGACTCCTGGCAGGAGCCATGGCCCACGCAGGAAGCCCAGACAAGAAGAGATTTTCAGGCAAGAACTGTAGCCTGTAGGAGCCTCCCATTCCTGATGGACTGTACCCCGTGGAAAGGATTCCTACTGAAACAGTGGAGAAGGACCTGTGTTGGAAAAGTTCATGAGGGACTGTATTCCTTGAGTGGGATCTCATGGTGGAGCATGGGAAGAGCATAAGAAGGAACAGCAGATAGGAACTAAGAGTAACTCATTCCCCATTCCTCCCATACTCTGTTCAGGAGTGGCAGAAGGTGGCAGGAAAGTTAGGAAGGAAAGAGGGAAGTAGAATCTGGAAGAAGAGAGGGGTGAGGGGAAGGTTTTAGGTTTGATTTTTTTTTACCACTAACTTTCCGTATCTTTAATTAGCAATAAATTAATCTTTCTCTAGTCAAGCATGTTTTGCCTGTGACAGTAATTGGTGAGGGATGTCCTCTCCTTATGCTTCCATCTCACTTTCTTTCCTCGTGCTGCTGCAGAGGGGGAGTGAGAGCGCAGCTTGTGGGCACCTGGCAGCCAGCCAAGGTCACTCCACTACAGAGCTCTTGCATTTGGGGAAAAGAATAAATTTCTCCTCAGCAACTTAAGCTATGAAGTCTTTGCTTTGAAGTAGAGGCACCCATCTGTTCTAGGTCAGCTGTAATAGGTATTTACTGCATTGCACAGTGAAGAATCACAGCTCTGTCTCTTCTTCAGCCATGTTTAGGGTGGCTTTACTCCATTTGCCTGCATCAGATGCTCACAGTGTGGCTTTACAGGCCAGTGGAAATGTCAGCTCTGTTCCTCTTTGCCTATAATTTAGGAGGTATTCCAAACCTCCTATGAAATATTATTAAGTGAAGAAAAGTTACAACACCCACAGCACTGCTTTAATATTAGGGTGAATTTTTAAACCAAATCAAAGTCCATAACTCCACAGTACCAAATTTATTTACTTGCTCTACAAGCATAATTTCTGAGCTTTCACTGGCATTATGGAGTTTTACAAGCCACCCACACCTACGAAACTCTATGTATTTTTTGCCATTAAAATGAGGGGAGGAGCCTTACTTTGAGTTCTTGAAAATAAGGGCCTTGTTTTCTATCAAGGAAATAAAGAACTATGGGGTATCATACTTGGTAATATGTTTTCTGTATCTGAAAATGGCCAAAAAATGTTTAAGGTCTTTTGACCCTCAAACTTATGCAGTCTTACAGGAACTTCATGTTCCCAAGAAACTCCTACATCAGAGACCAAAGACCTTGAATTAACAAAATATACTTTGGTTTTGGGAGGTGATTCCATCATACTAGTAAATTGTTTGGCATGTTCTGTACATGTTGAAAATGGGGACGTTTCTGTTTTGTCTCAGATCTCTGATGTATTATAATTCAGATGTGAAATCAGCCTAATTTTAACCATACATCTGTGCTTGATCTGTACATGTCTCAAGATATGTTTGCATTTATAATATTTATATACAGGATGAATACAGGCTTTGTTAAACACTCTCTCCAAAAGTATGCATGTCTTTTATCTTCCAAAAGATACTTACTTTATTTCAAAGTCACACTTTCATTTACTTCACATTCCACAAAACAGTGAAAAAATTGCTAATTTGGTTCCACAAACAATAGATGTTAAAAGTAGAAATATGTAAAGCCACAACAAAGAGAGTCCAAGGAACTTAGCAAAGTTTTAATTGCCCTTGATTTTAAAACATGTGATACTTCCCTTGCTTATCAGAATGCTTGATGGGCTGATTACCACAGAGTGATCACTCTTCAGCATTTTTCATACTTTTGGAACAGGATTTTATGGTTAGCTTGTTTTGATTTACCTTTGTTTTGTTTACAAGGGATGTAGCAAGGAATTTTTTTTACTTGAGCTGCTACCCAGGAATTCACATCACCTGCTTTCTGAAAAAATATGAAATGGTACTCTGTGGTTACTATTACTCATGCAAGCACACTTTTTCTAAGAAAGAACAACACATAAATGCATGTCATGCTCCTGGAAGTACAGCCCTAGCACATACAAGATCAGATTTTGTTCTCATGCCAGTATTCCATTCAACTTATGTCAATGACAATCTATACTGTTTCCTGAAAATGTAAATTTTCTCTCAAGAGTTTATAATCTTAAGTCGGAATCCAGAATGCTGAGGACAAGCCAGAAAAATGGTTATTCATTCTGCATACTTAAATGTACATACTCACTCTTGCCTATATAAGCTAGAAAAATGTGAATCAAGGGCAGTAACTTATTATAACAAAAAAAGTCAAACTCAAGGAGGACTGGAATACGAAACCTTCAGTGACCTCAGCTCTGAAACAATTTCCCCATGCTCAAATTGGCATGAAATCCATTTCAGTAGAGATCCAGTGACTGAAATACACAATGATGGCACTAAACTGGTGCTCAAGAGTAACCATCAGAGAAACAGCTGTTTCCAAAACTTTGGGAGAGGGCAACACAAATGGCTCAGAATCCCAAAGACAATGCCAAGATTCTGTTACCCTTCATTTGCCTAGCAGAAAGGCATCATTTGAGTCTAAATACTTCCATTGTTCTTATTACAATTTATCATGACAAAATTATTATTATGACAAAATAATTATTTAATAGGATGATCAGAAATTTTAAAACTAACTTTTACCACCAGTTTCTTCATTAAAAATATAAATAAACTGTTTAGGAATACGTATCTGCATGTCAGCCCAACCAATGAGTGTCTGGAAGCAACTCATTCATATGAAGGAAACTCAGTGGTAACACTGTGGAAACTGCTTCTCCTACTAAACAGTACTGCTCATACATCAAGGGACCAGGAAAAAAGAACTCTTAAACACAAAAGAAGGCATCTTAGCACAAGCACAGTACATTTGTACACAAAATAATCTCCATGATTCCAATTCAGTTACAGAAAAACATCTAAACCATTAAACAGATGGGCAGCATGCTGAGTTTTATGTTATTACAACCTTTCAATGCAGGGCCTCATTCTTTCCCGTAATATTTAGATTTCTGAGTTCAACAGTGAGTTGATCAAGGCAGTTCAAGGTGTTCTGCAAACTAAAGATGTTTGCTTGGTTAATCTCAGAAGAAGCCATGTTAAATCAGGAATTTAAAACAGACAAGTCTATCCAAACACCTTGTCAAAGATCCCCTGCATTATGCACAAAATCAGAAATATGTAATATTACTCTCTGACAAGTTTTTCACCCTACTATGAAAATTATAAACTACAGCTAAGAAGTGAGTTAATCTACCAAAGGACACCTGTCAAATTTGTAGCTAAATAAGAACAAAGACTCTATTTTAGATCAGTGGAAAGTCTGCATCTACACATGGATCACTGGTATAGAAGACAGAGCCAGTATCACTTCATTCAGTTTTCTGCAGTCCAGTTAAAAAATACAAATGAAACAATGCACACAATACAGTTACTGTGGGAGACACAGAAAAAGGAGAAACAAAGAAAGAAAAAAGGCTTTATTTTATTGTAGGTATTTAGGGTTTGTATTATCTCTGGGACATCTCAGACTAAATAACAACACTCACAACATGGACTGTCTATATGTACCACTTCCTCTGAGAGACAGATGTTTCAAAAAATTTTTATTCACTGCTTGTGAAGTTACAAAATACAATCAATGACCTGTAGACACCTTTATCACATTTGCTTTTTGTAAATTCCAAGATCCATTTTCATAAGGGATTCTTGTAATCAGCCATCTGGGATGAAAAAAGAAAAAAAATAAGTGACAGGTATCCCTACCTCCCAGTCCATCTCCAGAATCAACCTCACAGATGCTCTCCCCTTCCATATTGTCTTTAGGATGCAGCAGAAAGCAATATCTTCCTCAAATGATTTGCTCAGGCTCCAGAAGGAAGCTGAATCCACCCACTCTGCAGCCAGCAGGTGATATCTTTCAAATAAAAACATAAAAACAAAGCTATTGAGCCACCTCTGGTATACAAGAGATTCATTTAATTTCATTAAATTTCTCCCTTAAACACTCAACTTTTCAAAACTGTGTGTCAGTTCTACATCCAACATTGCAGCTCCTTATATCAATACAATCTCTTCAGTGGGTATCTGAGCTCCTTTTCCCTTTTAAATTCAATGGTGATTCACAGTTCAAACCCTCTACCCAATGTAAGGAGTTTACATCAGTCCAAATTGCAGGATACCATTAAGGTGGAAAGCCCCAGCACAGATTCCTGCTCATTCACGTGGCTGGAGAGGACTAGGAGCAATATATATATGTATATGTGGATATATATCCACATGATTAGCTCTCCTCTGGCACACTGTGAGTACTGTGAAACCAAATTACAAGCAGTTTGCAAAAAACTACACAGACTGAAAACACACAGCTCATGTGGGTTCACTTTCTTACAACTCCTAGGGTTATTTTAAGTATAGGTAGAGAGAGAGCATCTCAGTTTAGCAATGGATTTGATTTGCAGATGAGTATAAAGAAGTAAAGTGTAAAGATGGGTGTAGACAAAAGAATAAACCCATCTCATGTTGTATTTAAGAGAAGGACAATAAGGGACCAAAATTTCTTTCCCTTATATTGAGCCTAAATAGCTGATTATTTTCCTATTACTGTCCTGTGTAGATAGTTTTTACCAGCACCTTCTCTTTCTGAATAAAAGAGAAATAACTGTCAATTAATTCAAATAAGTACTAAGGAGACAGGAAACATCCTCACATTAGTGCCTTTGAGAGGCAAAAACAGACAAAAAGCAATCAGAACAGCATGGAGTTACTAGATTAGTTTTGCAGCAAGTGGAGAACTATCATGTGTTGCATGCTCATAATCTAGACAGCAAAGCAAGAATGAGCTCCAACATCTAAGTGGAAGATTTGCAGTATGGTTGTTTTTAAGAAAAAGGAAAACAGAAACAAAAATGCATCCAAAAAGAGCTCTCTGCCACAAATGAACTCAGGCCAAGAACAGAAAACACAATGAGAGAACATGATCAAGTGTATGAATGATGTGATACATTAAACTGTTCAGGTATCATTAGTAACTTTGAGCTAGTCATGGAGCAATGTGTTAGCCATTTCCTTGCCAGTTTCAAATGAACAAATAACTAATTTCTACTTGCAAGCCTATGGCCTTCTCTTTTGCTTTTCCATGTCACTAGGAAAGCATTCAAGCTGTTCCATGCAACCGTGTCTTATTGAAGGTATGGAAAAGGGAAAAAAAATTGTATTCATATCAATTGCCCTGCATTCAACATGAATTCCCTTCTTCAACTTCCTATCACAAGAAAACAATAAATACTATAAACAAATCTGTATCCAGACATCAGGTAAAAGAAAATCAATAGTTCAAGTACTATGTCATTTTGTTGATAAAAAGAAGTGCATACCTAGAAGTCTCACACCAGATGAACTCTATTTCTTCAGCTTCTTCAAGCGTCTCTCTCAGCATTTGCATGTTTTTGTTGATTTTCTGCTGGTTGAGCCAGTGTAGGTGTATGCCATGTAACAGAACATGCATGGCACTGTAAAACACTGAGCAGAATTCCAGAGGAGTGAAAGTTGTGTAGTACAGCCGTCTTACACTGCTGATGCTTCATCTTAAACTTGAATTGGCAATTCCAGGTACTCTTCTGAACCCATCTGCATGTTTTTCAGAAGGTGGGCTACTGCAGTTTGCCAAAGAGCAGACTCAGAAAGGATCCATCATAATGCTGATTTTTAGTGATGAAGTATCCATTGCAAAAATTTGGTAAAAAAAAATAAACCCATACTCCTTATTTAAAAAATATTAACATACTTACCAAATAAATAAATGGAATACAACAGTAATAGTATCAAACTCTGGCTGTGTATTTACACCTGAAATATGTATGCTCCAAATGCTGATTTAGGATGCTAAGAACATTAGCAATCATAGTTCCTGTATATAAAAGCAAACGCCCTCAAGCAATGAATATTGGATTCCCATGATCAAAGTTCTACTGTCAATGTCACGGGATTTAGTACTCTTTTTCTAGACAAATAGATCAGATGAACAACTAACCATAATTTTAAGAAGTCAGCCACAGCCCTTCAAATGTAAGAACTTTTCTTGCAAGTTTGCTTTTGGAAAGGTCACCGTGTTCTGCTCAGATCTGGTTTTTTATGATGAATGCTACAGTCCTCCTACACAGTAATACAGAAACAAGTTTGTATAAGATAACTGACCAAAGGACATTCTGCACTGTCTAGAAACTAAACATTACATTTTTGCCTTGGCCTTATGCCTGCATATGTGGAGAATAAATAATCTGTGCCCAGCATAAATTCCCACTTCTACATCTACTTAGACACAGCTGTTGCACAACCTAATGTGTTCACTTGTCTGTAAACAAAAACGTGTGTCCTTATGAAAAATCCATCAAGTGTCTTATCCATTTTTGTCTTATACTGATCAACTAAATGAAGTCTGCATGCCTTTATTAAAACCTGCAGATGTAGAAAGGACTAAATTTCAAGACAGTCAATACATAAGGGCTGATTACTAAAATTAAGTATCAGCACTGAAAAAATACAAGCATTTCAGTGCAAGATTACTAAGACAGTATCTGGAATCAAAGTCTCCGCTGCCTAGTTAGAAAATTACTATTATTATTCTTACCAAAACTGAGATTAAAAGAAGATAAACAGAAGAAAACCTGCTCTTAAATAATTTATTATTTTATATAAATTTCACTGTGAAACAAATTAATTGTTGTTACATGCTCACTGTCTCTTCCCATTTGGCATCCGCATTAATATTGCTTTTAATAGCATTTCACTCACAGCCGAACCTTTGGGGAGGTGGGGGGAAGGCATGGTTAGCAGACATGAAACCCCCTATTGTTCTGTTCTCTGGCTATGAAAACTTTTAATTAAATACTGAAAGCAAAAGGATGCAACAGTACTGAAATCTAGAGCTGCTCAAATGTAATCACAGCAATGGAGTAACCACAGAGGTGGAATTCTTAGCAAAGAACTGCTTCATGCTTGGCTGTGTGTTTACCTCTTACACAAGAGAGAGAAAAACCTGGAATGGTTCAAGTCAGCCTTTCCACAAAGGAAAAGATTCCACAGTAGAGAAGCAGAGAAGCACAGGAGAATGAGGTATGAGTAGAGTTGTTTTAAAACAGAAAGCAGCAACAAGTTCGATACTTTTAAATTACAGAGCATTTGAAACCTAATTACAAGACTCATTTGGTCATGTAGTTTCATCGTTTGAAGTTTCTTGATCATCTTGCTCATTCAAATCCTTCTCCCTACTAAGATCATACAGTATGTCCCATTTTTCCACCATCAAAACAGAATAAAGCCACACATGACCCAACCATCATTTGGTGCTGTCATCTGGTTCTTGATGAAAATGCTATCATCAGAGGGGAAAAAAAACAGTGAATGTGTTTAATTAAGTCTTAGAAAAGATACATCTGGTGTTGAGGGAACTCAACACAGAAGGAGGCTCAGGAAGAGTCTCAGCAAGTGCAGTTGTTCACAATTCTACCTCAGTGTTCTTCACAGAAGCACCCATGCCAGAGCAAGACAGTGGGCAGTGGAAAGATGAAATGAGGAATGCATAACTACTTGCATGATATCTTTTTTCTCTCAGAGTGGTTAAAAAAGCCTCAGCGCTGTTTTAACCCAAGCCAAGGGGTTATGTTGCCAAGCAGATGTGCAGAAGAAAGAGCAATAGTAATTACTGTAATTAGTCACCTTCTTCAGACCAGAGCCTGGCTCCAAGTGCTGTACAGTGGGGTGCAGAGAAATTGCATATGCATCCAAAAAAAGCCCAATCAAATGTAAATGACTGCAGTCCCTTGATCTTTCTGAAATGATGTGGTTCACCCTCCGGCTGCAGACATTGGATTTTGCAGCATTAATCCCCATAAATGTAACGTAATACTACCACTGGAGTACATGTACATTTTGATAACAACATATGAAGAAGCACAAATTGTTTTACAAAAATCAGAGTATGATAAGAATATTTAATTTTGCTCACGTTAAACCTTCAGGGAACTTGACAAGTTTAATTCTCCAATTAAAGTCAGAAAGACCACAGTTTTCTGCATTTCAAATCAAGTGCTGAAATAACAAACATGCCAGAATTAAAATGCAAAGGAAAGACTCAAGTCACAAAATCACAGAATCTTTTAATGGTAGTGCTTGGAAGGGACCTTGAAGATCATCTAGTTCCAACTGCTTGCCATGGCCAGGGATATCTTCTACAGACCAGGCTGCTCAGGGCCCTATCCCTGTCTCTGAATGCTTCCAAGGCATGAGGCAACCACAACATCTAGGAGCAACCTGTTTTAGTGTCTCACCACCCCCACAGAGAATAATTTCTTCCTAATATTCAACCTAAACCTTCCCTCTTTCACGTTAAGGCCATTACCCCTTGTCCTGTCCATATATAGCCTTGCTAGAAGGGGCTCCCTTCAAGTACTGGAAGGACACAACGAGGTCACCCCAGAGCCTTCTTTTTTCCAGGAACACAACCTCAATTTTCTCAGCCTCTCCCCACAGGAGAGGTGCTCCAGCCCTCTGATCACATCTTTGGGTGCCCAAGTCACCACAGTAGCACATTTCTCTGCTACCTCAAACACTCAAACACATGTATTTGAGTAGTCTCAAATACATGTTGTTAGTGCACCTTTTCAAACAGAATTTTTCACAACTGATTCCTACATAAGCCCAAACTTCTAGGCTGCCACTAGACAGACATTGCTCAAGTGTACACAATTAACTCCTGCCCATAAATCTTTCCTGCCTCTGGAGAGGTTATGCTTCTCTAAGTTTACCATCAAATGGATCTACAACGAATTATCAGTGACCTCTCTTTAGTAGTCCTGTGTCTCTGCAGGCAGCCAACCTCACACAAGGACTCCTGCTAAGCTAGTTATTTTTGCTTTCTCTTTATTTCACTCATTTGTTGTAGGAATTTATTCAAAGTTAATGAATCAGTCCAAAATTCTCATACATATTTCAGTGTTTTCTAAAAAAAGAGATCTACATTTTAGAAATGGGCATAAATCTTGTATTCAGTCAGGCATGACCATGCTTGAGTTGTCCTGCAGTAATACAATAACAACAAGCCTTCCTGACTACCAGATTTGATAATCGTAATTCCTTCCTAACAAGGCTTTCCGAGAAAGTCTGAGTTGAATTGAATCACTGTATTTCACCACAAAGCTGCATTTTTTGAGGTATCTCCATATGGAAATCTCAATGAAGTCAAAAGGAAGTTTGTTATAGACGTGAGCATTTTAAAAACCGACAAAATCCTCACTTTCCAATACATTAAAATAAGCTGCCACTCAAAATTTTGCAAAATATGGTCAAGTGCTAAGCAGTTTGCTGGAAACAGCCATGAAAGGAGATCTCAGCATTCTAATCCTGCAAAATACAGTTCAGGGAGGGGATAGAGACCATTACCAACACATGAATTTCACAACTTTATTCCTCAAAAATATCCATCTGAAGTGGCAAGAGGAGTGACTTCTGAGGTACTTCATTTCCATACACATTTTCCTTAATAAAGTTTATATTTCAAACCCTTACCTGTTTTATTCACCAAACTGTTTTACTGCTCCCATCACACAGTACTTTGCTTTCCAACTACTTTTCTTTACATACACATTGTGAGAAAGTTAATTCGTGCACTAATGTGCAAAAGGGTTGGCAATTCAGATATTGTTTTAGCAGAACAGAGCACCACAAAACCCTTGCCACACTACTCCCTTTTGGGCCAGTGCCATAACGTACAGTGTGGGCTGTGCACTGCAAAAAAATCCCCATCAAGCTAACACAATATTCTCTGTTATCTTAGAAAAATAATCTTGCAATTTGGTTCCTCTGCTAATAGCAGAAACAGTAGCTATGACACATGCAGAAACAATAGAGGCCAAGCTAGTGTTTTTTAATGCCACCTGATGATGTTTATAGTGATCTGGAAAGAAATTACATATTATGGTTTCTGTTCTAGGCATACTAATTCAATAACAGAGGGCAGGATATTATATCAGAAATGTTTTCTTCAAAGATGTGCCTAAGAAGCCAATTTCTCCAACTTGAGATTTACTATGTAGTCAGTACAATCTGTATATTGCTGAAAAGATTCATAAAAGAGTGAATTTGACATTTACACAAGTTGATTTCTGCAGTTTAATTCTACTACTGTTACCAACACAAAGCACACCTTAAAAGCAAAACCCAACATGACAACCCACAAAGAAAAACATAAAAACACTCCCAGAACACATATCCTTGATAAGATGAATTTTCAGTTCAGTCTAAATATAGTCTTCAGTTTTAAAAAAGTGTGTTTCACATTAGAGACAATGTTAATAAAACAGCAGGATTTTTCTGTTTCTCATAGGACTGTCTGTTTCTAAAGAAGTGAAGCTATATTTTATTTTGAAAC